CTGAGGTCTCTCAGAGGGTTTGGGGGCACAGTAGAGGGTTGGGGGGGGTGCTGAGGTCTCTCGGGGGGGATTTGGCACCATGCACATGGAGCGGTTTAATAACGTTCGTAAGGTTCGCTGTGTGAAGTGTTAGAAATGTGAATTTTTCAGCGTTTAACGTTTAGCCGCGTTTTTTTTCCGTGTTTGTGTTTTTTATCTTTTTTTACACACAAAAAAAAATGCCCCAAAAAGGCCATTTTGCAGCGTTTTTCAGCATTGGAGCATTTTTACAGCTTAAAAACTCTAGAAACCTGCTAGTTCTGAGGGGTTTATTCCAGCCAATAAACGATGCTTCCAGTCTGTGTGTACAGGACACATAGGATAACATGCTGCTGGGTTTACTGGGTGTAGAAAAAAACGCCAAAAGCCAAAAACAGCCGCTGTAAAAACGTCCCTTTTAGTGTCTGCATTCATTTGTTTATCTGTGACTGAATCAGGGGGATTTTCCTTGACGTCCTGTCCCTGTGATACCCATATAAGAAAAAAAAAGAGGGAGCCGTTGTCACCCAGACAGGAAGTGAGGATAACCCCAGCATGGAGAGAGCGCTCCCAGGCTCCGCCCCTCGACGCTTGGCCGGACGATGTAGCCCCGCCCTTGTGAGTTAAGCTGCACTGAGCCTCCCTCTGTAACCACGCCCTCATGGCTCTGCAGTGCGGGGGGGGCGGTGCCTGTTGCCAGGGAAGTGGATTGTGCGGCCTGTTGACCGTTGCTAAGGAAGTGGCGGTCCGGCGTCGGTCGGCATCCGGCTGTACTGGGACAGAGGGACGAGGACGGCGGCGGGATGGCAGGTGAGAGGGACAAGGAGGGGCCCCACCCGCTGTGTGTATTTTGGGGGAGGGGGGACACCAGCATGACTTCCGCTGTGTGCGCTCTGATTTCATCCTCCCATGTCAGGGCCTTTAGACACCTCCCATGTCAGGGCCTCTTAGCACGCCGGGCAGACCCCCCATTCACAGGGCAGACCCCCCATCACTGAGCACCACCGGGGGGGACACACTGGGCAGACCCCCCCCCCATCACTGAGCACCACTGGGGGGGACGACACACACAGGGCAGACCCCCCATCACTGAGCACACACCGGGGGGACACACAGGGCAGAGACCCCCCATCACTGAGCACCACCAGGGGGGGACACAGGGCAGACCCCCCATCACTGAGCACACCGTATCATATGGGCACCACGGGGGGGTCAGGACCTCCTAGACATGTATACATTGTATATATCATCCATCCCACACAATGTATCATATGATGGGGGGGTCAGGACCTCCTAGACATGTATACATTGTATATATCATCCATCCCACACAATGTACCCCATGATGGGGGGTCAGAACATCCTAGAGATGTATACATTGTATAGGGGACACAAATCGGACACAATGTATATGATGGGTCAGGACATGTATCAGGGGAGATGTATACAGGGGACACAAATCGGACACAATGTATCATATGATGGGGGTCAACATCCTGCAGATGTACAATGTACAATGTATCACCTGTCAGGTGGTGAGGATAGACCAGGTCCTAGAGATGTACAGAATGTCAGTCCTGAACTCTGACCACTATGTATCACCTATACTGTGGTCTGATATGTGGTCAGCACTGGTCATGTACCAGGATGCAGCCCAGGCACTGAGTACATTGCTGTTGGTGGGAGTGGGGGGGGGGGGGTTATATAAAACTGGAGAAACTATGCATGGGAGCCAATCTGCTTCAAACTTTCTGCTCCAGTTTTAATAAAATTCCCCCGAATGTACGCTGTACTGTGATGTGTGATCAGGCTGGGCCATGTGTCAGGACATCATAGTGTACACATTGTATAGGATATACTCCAAGATTCGGCCAGGACACTGAGGACAATGTATCACCTGTCATGTGGCCAGACTAGACCAGGCCATGTGTACCGGGATATCATACAGATGTGTAGAGAAGATCCATCCCAGACACTGACTGCTGTGTGTCACCTGTACTGTGTCCTGATGGGTATACAGGCCAGGTCATGTGTCCGGACATCATAGCGATGAATAGAACATCCTCCTGGGTGCAGCCCAGACTCTGAGAACAATGTATCACCTGTCATATGATTAGGCTAGACCAGGCCATGTGTCAGGACATCATAGAGATACACTATATTGCCAAAAGTATTGGGACCCCTTCCAAATCATGTGATTCAGGTGTTCCAATCCCCTCCATGGACACAGGTGTATACAATTATCCCCTAGGCATGCAGACTGCTTCTACTAAACATTGGTGAAAGAATGGGTCGCTCTCAGGAGTGACTCCAAGCGTGGTCCCGTGATAGGTGGCCACCTGGGCAATAAGTCCATCCGGGACATTTCCTGGCTACTAAATATTCCACGCTCAACTGTTAGTGGGATTATAACAAAGTGGAAGCAACTGGGGACAACAGCAACTCAGCCACCAAGTGGTAGGCCACGTCACATGACAGGGCGGGGTCAGTTTATGCTGAAGCGCACAGTGCGGGGAAGTCGCCAACTGTCTGCAGAGTCAATAGCTAAAGACCTCCAAACTTGGTGTGGCCCTCAGATGAGCCCAACAACAGTGTGTAGAGAGCTTCATGGAATGGGTTTCCATGGCCGAGCAGCTGCATCCAAAGCCTTCCATCACCAAGTGCAATGCAAAGCGTTGGATGCCGTGGTGTAAAGCACGCCGCCACTGGACTCTAGAGCAGGGGAGATGTGTTTCTCTGGAGTGACCAATCACGCTTCTCTGTTTGGCAGTCCGATGGACGTGTCTGGGTTTGGCGGTTGCCAGGAGAACAGTACTTGCCTGACTGCATTGTGCCAAGTGTAAAGTTTGGTGGAGGGGGGATTATAGTGTGCGGTTGTTTTTCAGGGGTTGGGCTTGGCCCCCTAGTTCCAGTGAAGGGAACTCTTAAGGCGACATTTTGGACAATTTCATGCTCCCAACTTTGTGGGAGGAGTTTGGGGATGGTCCCTTCTTGTTCCAACATGACTGCCCACCAGTGCACAAAGCAAGGTCCATAAAGACATGGAGGAGCCAGTTTGGGGTGGAGGAACTTGACTGTCCTGCACAGAGTCCTGACCTCAACCCCATAGAACACCTTTGGGATGAATTAAAGCGGAGACTGCGAGCCAGGCCTCCTCCCCCGACATCAGTGCCTGACCTGACAAATGTGCTTCTGGAAGAATGGTCCAACCTTCCCATAGACACCCTCCTAAACCTTGTGGACGGCCTTCCCAGAAGAGTTGAAGCTGTTATAGCTGCAAAGGGCGGGGCCAACTCAATATTGAACCCTACGGACTAAGACTGGGGGGCCATTAATGGTCATGTGTGTGTGGAAAGGCCGGCGGACCAATACTTTTGGCAATATAATGTAGATACAATGTATAAGAAAATCCAGATCAGACACTGAGGACAATGTATCACCTGTATTGTGTCTGATGTGTGAACAGCACCGACTATGTAGAAGGACATCATAGAGATGTGGAGAGGGAGGTGGGGGCTGGGGACACCCCTTGGAGTACAGGGCTGGGGGCACCTCTTGGGGTACAGGGCTGGGGACACCCCTTGGGGTATGGGGCTAGGGACACCCCTTGGGGTATGGGGCTAGGGACACCCCTTGGGGTACACTACAGACACAAAGCATTTACAGCCAACAGAACTCAGCCCTTCCATTACTAACGAGGAGGGGAAGGAAGGATGATCAGAACTATCCAAGGAGAAGCTGCCTCACTCCAACCAGAAAAAGAACAATGTTCTGGCTGGAGTTCTGCTTTATATAAACATGGCCGCCCTGCCTTGATGGAGCTTTATTTGCTGTGATTGTTTTCCATCCCATAATGAAATCTTATACTGTGTTATTGGGTCCGTTACACCGATCCCAGGCAGCTTCCTTCTATGGGAAATCAATAGGACATGTCACATCACAATATCACACAAATGATGGATTTGTCTATCAGATGGAATTCCCGGTTAGCCAGGCTGACACTTGAGGTTTATCATATATTCAATAGAGAAGATGGGACTTTCAGGGTGCATGAACATGAATACCAAACATATTAAAAAGTTATAGAAATTTTTATTTCGTATTTTTGTAAAAAAACACAACAAGAAAGAAAACAATACAGGAACATAAAAACAATTTCAGTTCTAAGAAAACAACTGAGATTCAAACTTGGTTATGTAGTTACTCCCTACATGTTTCGTCCTCGCGAGCTTCTTCAGGGGAGTTTTTTTTTGAAAAATTTTCTACCGCCGAGGCAGTCTAAAGGTATATCAAAGGAACATTGTTCAATTACCAAACAACTTTAATATATCCAATACAGAGTATTTAATCAAATATATATACATATATATGGGACTCAATGGCTCACCCTGGGTGTGAAAGCTTGAGATTTATCATCTGTCATGAGAAGGAATCGTTTCTGGGGGCGGGTTTTAGTTTTCCTTAGTAAATAAAGGGAATTAGGTTTTGCCTGCTCAGGCTGATAGATAAGTGAGAATGATGGGAGGTGAGTTAGGTGTGTTCTCATATAGTCAGGACAGGTCACTGAGCCCCAATCTGTACCCAAAATACTTGTCATTGGGGGTCATTTACTAAAACCTGGTGCAGCTCTGCATAGAAACCAATCAGCTGCCAGGTTTTAGTGTCAAAACTTAATTGAACAAGCTGAAGTTAGAAGCTGATTGGCCGCCATGCACAGCTGCACCAGATTCTGAGAGCTCCAGTTTTAGTACATCTACCCCTGTAGAAAAAAAACAAAACAGGGCGCCCTCTCCTTGTGCATTAACGCAAAACCAAAAATGTATTAAAAAGATGCAAAAACATACTCACAAGCCATAAAGGTCATAAAAACAGAGACAAGAAGTCAAAGGTGCCCATCGTGGACAGCATGCGTCCTCGGATGAAGTGCTAACGCGTTTCGGGAGTTGAACTCCCTTCCTCAGAGCAATAGCAATGTGTGTTACCAAGCAATTGATCAATATTCGTTATAAGAAGGTAAATCTTGTAAAGGTTCAAAAGAAATTGACATTTTCTGCATGGAGAAGATTTTAATTCATGTGACCGTGAGCAGGTAACATCTGAAGCCATTTCTGCAGATTCATAACTCGGATCTTTTTCCTGTAAATGTGGTTGAAGAGATAGGGTCAGCTTGGTCAGACAGGCCACAGTGACTGTTTCTGCAAAGGTTCCCCTGACCTACCTATACTTGCCTTGTCTGTGCTTCCTTGCCACTCCTTCCTCCTTCATAGTTGGGTGACCAGGGGGATCAGTGATATCATTACCCCCCACCCCATACTCCCCTTGTCTGTGCTTCCTTGCCACTCCTTCCTCCATCATAGTCAGTGACCAGGGGGTTCAGTGATATCATTACCCCCCCCCCCCATACTCCCCTTGTCACTGCTTTCTTGCCACGCCTTCCTCCATCATAGTCGGTGACCAGGGGATCAATGATATCATTACCCCCCACCCCCCATACTGCCCTTGTCTGTGCTTCCTTGCCACTCCTTCCTCCATCATAGTCGGTGACCAGGGGGTTTCAGTGATATCATTACCCCCCACCCCCCATACTCCCCTTGTCTGTGCTTCCTTGCCACGCCTTCCTCCATCATAGTCAGTGACCAGGGGGTTCAGTGATATCATTACCCCCCACCCCCCATACTGCCCTTGTCTGTGCTTCTTTGCCACTCCTTCCTCCATCATAGTCAGTGACCAGGGGGATCAATGATATCATTACCCCCCCACCCCCATACTCCCCTTGTCACTGCTTTCTTGCCACTCCTTCCTCCATCATAGTCAGTGACCAGGGGGTTCAGTGATATCGGTCCCTCCCTGACACCCCCCCATAGTCGCCTTGCTTGTGCTTCCATGCCACTCCTTACTCCATCATAGTCAGTGACCATTGGGATCAGTGATATCGATCTCTCCCTGACACCCCCCCATACTTGCCTTGCTTGTGCTTCTTTGCCACTCCTTACTCCATCATAGTCAGTGACCAGGGAGATCAGTGATATCATTACCCCCCACCCCATACTCGCCTTGTCTCTGCTTCTCAGCCGCTCCTTCCTCCATCATAGTTAGTGACCAGGGGGATCAGTCCCCTCTGACACCCCCCATACTCCCCTTGTCTGTGCTTCTCTGCCACTCCTTCCTCCATCATACTCAGTGACCAGGGAGATCAATGATATCATTACCCCCCACTCCATACTTCCGTTGTCTGTGCTCCTTTGCCACTCCTTCCTCCATCATAGTCAGTGACCAGGGAGATCGATGATATCATTACCCCCCACCCCCTACCTTCGTTGTCTGTGCTCCTTTGCCACTCCTTCCTCCATATAGTCAGTGACCAGGGAGATCGATTATATCATTACCCCCCACCCCATACTCGCCTTGTCTGTGCTTCTTTGCCACTCCTTCCTCCATCATAGTCAGTAACCAGGGGGATCAGTGATATCGGTTCCCCCTGACACCCCCCCATACTCGCCTTGCTTGTGCTTCCATGCCACTCCTTACTCCATCATAGTCAGTGACCATTGGGATCAGTGATATCGGTCCCCCTGACACCCCCCATACTTGCCTTATCTGTGCTTCCTTGCCACTCCTTCCTCTATAGTCAGTGACCAGGGAGATCGATTATATCATTACCCCCCACCCCATACTCTCCTTGCTTGTGCTTCTTTTCCACTCCTTCCTCCATCATAGTTGGTGGCCATTAGGATCAGTGATATTGGTCCCCCCTGACCCCCCCCCCCCCATACTCCCCTTGCCTGTGCTTCCTTGCCACTCCCCCCTCCATCACAGTCGGTGACCAGGGGGATTAGGGATAAGTCTCCCCTGACAGCCATTGACTAGGGGGATAGGTGATATCGGTCTCCCCTGACCCCTACCCCCATACTCCCCTTACCTGTGCTTCCTTGCCTCTCCTTCCTCCATTGTAGTCGGTGACCAGGGGGATCAGTGATATTCCTGGTCATGGTTTGGGGCCTCCTGATAGCATACCCATCCCATCAAGATCTACTCATCCATCCATGCTCCCTCACTGCCTCCCTTCTGCAGAAGTCTACCGTATGTAAGCTCCTGTCTTAGAGCTCACTCTGACCACAGACATCACAAAAGTGTGGTGCATGTGCCACCTGGAGCCAATCAAATGCCAAAAGTGTGCCCCCCCCCCCCCTCATCCTTCCCAAGCAGTGATGGTTGGAGCTTGCACAACTGCACATACAGTGGCCGGTCCAGCGCTGAGGACACAGATGACTCCCACTGGCTTCTGTCCCCAAAGTTAACTGTTTTTTGGTCCAAGAAAGCCGAATGGGATGTAGGGAGGTGTTAAACTAGCGTGAATTGGGGCTTGTTCACACGGGCGGTAAAAGATGTGGTTTTTACAGCCCCCTAACTGTCCACCTAAACTAAGAAATGCCAATACCAAAAATTAAAAGGCATGCTGTGTTCAACAGGAGGAACTGATGCTGAATATGACCCATTGAAGTGAATAGGGCTTTGGTTCAACCAACCTGCAGCCTGCAAGAATGTAGGAATGTGCTGGTCAGGTTTAGAATACAGTAGTGGCTCCAGACATGTCCCTCCTGTAAATCCATGACCACACATCTACTGCGAAAATATCAATCCATTCAGGAGCCACACGCTGGTGTCTGTCCCAATCACGGAACGTGTGAAGCTGTGAGTGATCCCATGCCTCTCCTGAGTGTGAAAAGTTCAGACAGCTGTGTTTGCCTTGGCAGGGTCGCTGATCAGAGTACAGAATCCAACAGGACCTTTATGTATCTAGGGAAACGGTGACGCGCCACGTGGGTGCCGTAACACAGCGACACAAGAACAAACCAATGTACACCAGAACTCTGGACAGATATAAAAGACACAATGCAGCTCTGTAATGATTAATTCACCAGTAAATAACTTAAAAAAAGAAAAAAATATATATATATGAAATATATATGTGTACAGTATCTATGTAAATGCTAGTTGCCTGGCCACCTGTGGCTTCAATATTTGGAGACACTGACCCAGCAACAGAGTGCAATCAGGACTCCCAACCTGCATGCTGGTCCAGACGTGATGACTGAATGTACTGCATTCACTCACTGCATCTACATGGCAGCCAAGGGACTAGTATTTTTAGAAAAACAGGTCATGCTGGCAACATTTGTACTCCCTCAGTGCAGATACCCCGAAGCCAGTTGTACATTATGGTTTTTCCTAAATGTAATCATTTCTTTAACATCCGTATTTATGTTGGAAGGAATTTTATATTGTACAAAATGCCCAAGCAGAGGGGATTTAAATGAAGTCTGAATGCCAATACAAAAAGTCAAGTCAAGCATTGCCCTGCATTGCACCTGTTGGGGCCCAATACAGATAGGGAATGCCCATTGGGGTCTGTTATGGATGGGGAATACTTATCAGGGTTTGTTATGGATAGGGAATGCCCATTGGGGTCTGTTATGGACAGGGAATGCCCATTGGGGTCTTTTACGGGCGCAGAATGTTTTCCAGGGTCTGTTATGGGTGCGGAACGCTTTCCAGGGTCTGTTACGGGCACAGAACGCTTGCCGGGGTCCGTTACCGGCGTGGAATGCTTGCCAGGGCCCGTTACGGGCACAGAACGCTTGCCAGGGCCCGTTACGGGCACAGAACGCTTGCCGGGCACCGTTATGGGCACAGAATGCTTGCCGGCTGCGTAAAGTTTGCCAGGGTCCGTTACAGGCGGGGAACATTTGCCAGAAAACGTTTGCCGGGGTCCGTTACGGGCGGGGAATATTTGCCGGGGCCCGTTACAGGCAGGGAATGTTTGCTGGGGTCCGTTACGGGCGGGGAATATTTGCCAGGGCCCGTTACAGGCAGGGAATGTTTGCTGGGGTCCGTTACGGGCCAGGAATATTTGCTGGGGTCCGTTAGGGGCCGGGAACGTTTGCTGGGTTCCGTTACAGGTGGGGAACACATACCGGGGTCCGTTACGGGTGGGGAACACATGCTGGGGACCGTTACGGGCAGGGAACACATGCCGGGGTCCGTTATGGGCTGAGAACTGGGCTGGGGTCCATTACAGGTGGGGAATGTCTGCCTAGGTCCATTATGGGCTGAGAACTGGGATGGGGTCCATTACAGGTGGGGAATGTCTGCCTAGGTCCATTATGGGCTGAGAACTGGGATGGGGTCCATTACAGGTGGGGAATGTCTGCCTAGGTCCATTATGGGCTGAGAACTGGGATGGGGTCCATTACAGGTGGGGAATGTCTGCCTAGGTCCATTATGGGCTGAGAACTGGGATGGGGTCCATTACAGGTGGGGAATGTCTGCCCAGGTCCATTATGGGCTGAGACCTGGGATGGAGTCCATTACAGGTGGGGAATGTCTGCCTAGGTCCGTTATGGGCTGAGACCTGGGATGGGGTCCATTACAGGTGGGGAATGTCTGCCTAGGTCCGTTATGGGCTGAGACCTGGGATGGGGTCCATTACAGGTGGGGAATGTCTGCCTAGGTCCGTTATGGGCTGAGACCTGGGATGGGGTCCATTACAGGTGGGGAATGTCTGCCTAGGTCCGTTATGGGCTGAGAACTGGGATGGGGTCCATTACAGGTGGGGAATGTCTGCCTAGGTCTGTTATGGGCTGAGAACTGGACTGGGGTCTGTTACGGACGTGGTATGCCTGCCGGGGTCCATTATGGGCTGGGGCCTGTTACGGGCAGGGATCGCTTGCCGGGGTCTGTTAGGGGCAGAGAACATCTGCTGGGGTCCATTATGGCCCGGGAACGCCCATTGGCCTCCGTTACGGGTGCACAAATTTTATAAAGCAAAATTTAAACGCCTAAGGAGAGGTGACTTTCTGTGAACTCTGAATGCCAATGCAAACAGTCATACCAAACATTGGCCTGCCTTCTTCTGCCGTCCTAGTGGAACTGCAATGTAATTGGTGCTCTCATTGACCAAACGTTTTATATGGCTCTACTATCTTCCATCTCTATTGGTCGTTGAGTCCAATTAACAGTACAGGGAATGGGCGGGGCAAAGCTTGACTCTTGCATAAAAAGTCAACTTGTACATATAACTCCAGCTGCCTCCATCCTTAGATCTACTGATCACTTCAACAGAAATGTACCTTATTTAGGCATTTACTCATTATATGATTCCTTTAGGTTTGTTTTATATTGGTCTCCTAGCTCTTCATTTGGACTAAATGGCTCTTGAATTTTAAATGATTGTCCCCCTAATGCAAGTATGACAAGCCTTCGGGTGTAATGTGTAATATTAGTGTTTTTTTGGAAGTAATCAGTATTATTATATGAATCAGGGCAGATCATGTACTGAGGATTCCTCTATCCATGCTCCCCCTCCCACCTCTCCTGCATCATCCGCTTTGACCCACTTTGCCGGAACACTGACCTTGACGCTCGCAGCATGGCAGGGAGCGCGCTTGATGCTCCAATGACAGATGTGCTGATGGAATACCACAGCAGATCTCACAAACATCAATTTTCATAAATACTCCACGGGCATTCAAGGTTCCAATACAAGGAGACCTCTCCATACTGAGAAGATGATTGTGTTGCAGATTATGCAATGAGACCATTATGAATGTTACTTACAATAATTTGGTAACTACCGGTTGATAGTCGAACAGTAACAAGCATCCTATAATGAAACATACATAGTTGATTCTAAATGTTTTACATTTTAAAACCAATAACTTGAGATTTTCAGCTGATTCCTCTATTTTTGTTTTTTTTTGTTTGCTTTTCATGTAGGGTGGTAAATAGATAACTAGAGAAGAATCCTAGACTGACCACACCGAAGATGTCGAAGTCCAAGAGCTCGGAGACTGTGAGGGTGGTGGTGCGGTGCCGGCCTATGAACACCAAGGAAACTGCTGCCGGCTTTGAAAAAGTGGTTGAGGTGGATGTGAAGCTCGGGCAAGTGTCGGTGAAGATTCAGAAAGGGGCCAGTAACGAGTTGCCAAAAACATTCACGTTCGACGCGGTTTACGACTCTAACTCTAAGCAGGTGGAGCTTTACGATGAAACATTCAGGCCGTTGGTGGATTCTGTCTTGCAAGGCTTTAATGGAACCATCTTTGCCTATGGCCAGACAGGAACTGGGAAGACTTACACGATGGAAGGACTACGAGGTGATCCGGAAAAGAGGGGTGTAATACCAAATTCTTTTGAACACATCTTCACCCACATATCCCGTTCCCAGAATCAACAGTATTTGGTCAGGGCTTCTATTTAGAAATCTACCAGGAAGAGATCAGAGACCTTCTCTACAAAGATCAGTCGAAACGTCTAGAACTTAAAGAAAGACCAGACACTGGGGTCTATGTCAAAGACTTGTCCTCTTTTGTCACCAAAAGCGTGAAGGAAATAGAACATGTCATGAATGTTGGCAACCAGAACCGCTCCGTGGGCGCCACCAACATGAATGAACACAGCTCCCGCTCCCATGCCATCTTTATGATCACCATTGAGTGCAGTGAGATTGGTTTGGATGGCGAGAACCACATCCGAGTAGGAAAACTCAATCTGGTCGACTTGGCTGGTAGTGAACGTCAAACAAAGACTGGAGCCCAAGGCGAACGGCTAAAGGAAGCTACAAAAATTAATTTGTCTCTCTCGGCACTAGGAAATGTTATATCTGCCCTTGTGGATGGCAGAAGCACCCACATTCCCTACCGAGATTCTAAACTTACTAGGTTACTGCAGGATTCATTGGGTGGCAATGCGAAGACGGTTATGGTGGCCAATATTGGGCCTGCCTCCTATAACGTTGAGGAGTCCCTGACAACTCTACGCTATGCCAATCGTGCCAAAAATATCAAGAACAAGCCGAGAGTGAACGAAGACCCCAAGGACGCATTATTACGGGAGTTCCAGGAGGAGATTGCAAGGCTCAAAGCGCAGTTGGAGAAGAAGGTGGTGGGGAAAAGACGAAAGCGAGGTAGGAGAAGACCTGGTGTCGATGGAGCAGCAGATGATGAAGAAGATGGAGACGGTGATGGGGACTCTTGTGAAGGAGAAGAAGATGGCGATGACAAAGACTACTGGAGGGAACAGCAGGAGAAACTTGAGACTGAGAAGAAGGCCATTGTCGAAGATCACAGTTTGGTGGCGGAAGAGAAACAGAAGCTTTTGAAGGAGAAAGAGAATAAAATGGCCGATTTACGAAAAGAAAAAGAGGCTATGGAAATGCTGACGGCTAAAGTCAAGGTAAACCTAACCAGTGGCATGCAACTGTGGTCAGATATGCAGGCACTGTATGGCAGCTAAAAGTTTGTTCTGACAAAAGATCTTTCCATAAACATGCATTCACAGACCAACTAAGTGTGCATGTCTATGGCAAAGCTGCTTCTTCCCTTAGAAATAGTTGTCCTAGCTTAGAATCTGGGCAACGGTGGTTTTTATGGGACATCCCTTCTACATGACCGTTCTAACTCATTCAGTCCATGCAGTGAATGAAATATGGGATGTCAGGCAGGAGAACAACGGAGAGGATGACTAGTAACCCTCGTGGTTGTAGCGAGGAGGACATAGCTGTTCTATGGCGGGTTAACCACTTCCCGACCAGCCGTTGCATATAAACGGCCAGATGGTGGCAGTGCAGGGTCAGGTGGCTTGTGCGCGCTCCCTGGGAGCGCGCAGCACCGCGATCCGGTGCCTGCTGTGTCCTCCGGACACAGTGAAACACCGATCGTCGGACGGGACCTCTGTACGAGGTCCCGATCATGTGATCACTGATTGGCCAATCAGTGATCACATGCAAAGTAGTAAGCAAGATGTCACTTGTGACATCATTGCTTACTACGTGTGAAATCTGTGAATGATCACAGAGGTCACATGGTACAAGGCTATTCACAACAGCCTTGTACCATGTGACAAGCTGTGACCAATCACAGCTCACTCAGTACTTCTCAATGAGTGCAAGAATGCAGACAGAGAGAAAGAGAAATGATTGCTTTTATACCCATATAGGATGTAAAAGCAATCAGTGTAAAAAAAAAAAAAAAAAATCTTCATCACCCCCCACAAGTAGTACAGTGTCACCATGCTGACACTGTACTGCTAGGGTGACAGTATGTAAAAAAAAAAAAAAATAAAAAATAATAATATAAAGAAATAAAATAAAAAGGTAAAAAAAAAGTTTAAAAATTATAATTTTTGGTTATAAACTAATTTGGATTTTTTTTTTACTAAAAAGATAACGGAATAAATTTTGGCAAAGATTTATGATGAAATATTATTTATTTGCAAAATTTTATTAAAAAAAAAACACTTTTTTTCAAAATTTTTGGACTTTTTCATTTACATAGCAAAAAAAAATAAAAATCCCAGCGGTGAATAAATACCACCAAAATAAAGCTTTATCTGTGTCAAAAAAAATGGTAAAAAATTAATTTGGGTACAGTGTTGCATGACCGTGCAATTGTCATTCAAAGTGTGATAGCGCTGAAAGCTGAAAATTGGCCTGGACAGGAAGGGGGGGAAAGTGTCCGGACTGGAAGGGGGGGAAAGGGGGAAAGTGTCCGGACTGGAAGTGGTTAAGGAAGGTTAAACAATAACAGGGATGCTAAAAAATGGACACCATAGGAGCAACTTAAGCATCAAGTTAGGTCAAGTGTATCAATAAAGCTGTTTGATAAAACATTACGTAATTCAGTGACTGTGAACCCTTTATGAAGGTGCAGGTCATCTGTACAGCCGCATTCTGCTTGGGTGTTATTCAGCAATAAACATCCATTAGACATGTGCAGTTTATTTTGTTCTAATTTTTCTTTTCTTCAGAGATTCACATGTATCCAAATTTCTGAATTACAATAGTAACGATTTTAAACGAATCCGAAATAACAGCCGAAATTGGAATCGAATTAGAAAAAAAGAACAGAATAAAATAGAATACAAAGTAAAGGAATAGAAAAGGACAGAATCGAAAAGAAATAGTGATCACTGCTAGCAGCTATAGCCACCGGCAGTAGTTGCAGATAAAAAAAAAACAATCTATATCCTTTACAAATCTGTAATACATTATTGCGACAATACTGTTAATTGTTGTAAACAATCAAATGACCAGTAAAAAACAATAAACGAATCCGAAATAAGGGCCAAAAATCAAATCGAATTAGAAAACAAGAACAGAATAAAATAGAATACAAAGTAAAGGAATAGAAAAGAACAGAATCGAAAAGAAATAGAGTAAAACAGAACAGAATAAAATAGAAAATAATAGAATAAAATAGAATAGGAAAAAAAAATCAATGGAATAGAAAAGAATAGAATAGAAAAAAAAGTAACAGAATAGAAAAGAATAGAGTAATACAGAAAATAATGGAAAATAAAAGAATAGAACAAAATAGAATAGAAAATAAAGGAATAAAATAGAAAATAATAAAATAGAGTAGATTAAAACAGCACAGAGAATAAAATAGAAAATAAAATAGAAAAGATTAAAACAGCACAGAGAATAAAATAGAAAATAAAATAATAATAGACTAGATTAAAAGAGCACAGAGAATAAAATAAAAAATAGAATAGATTAAAAGAGCACAGAGAATAAAATAGAAAATAGAATAGATTAAAAGAGCACAGAGAATAAAATAGAAAATAAAATAATAGATTAAAGCAGCACAGAAAAGAAAAGAATTGAATAAAATAGCATAGAAAATAAAGGAATAGAACAGAATAGAAAATAATAGAATAGAATAAAGTAGAATATAACCGTCTTTCGAAATTCGAATTTTGAATAGAATAAATTTGAATGCTGATTCCATGCTTATCTATTTGGTTGAATTGAATTCAATTTGACTGAATTCAGAAAATGTCATTGAATTAAAATACAAATCAACTAAACTAATTCCGAAAAAAAAATGTAACTAAAAAAAACGATTTAAATAGCGAATCAAAATGAAACAATTTTTTCGTTCTGCACATCTAACATCCATGACTTCTGTATCCAACTATCCAGATCTAAAATTGCTGATGAACTTGGACTGTTATGTGAACGTTGCTCATCATATCACTAATGATTCTACCTTTGCAGGCCATGGAAAGTAAACTTCTGGTTGGGGGTAAAAACATTGTGGACCATACCAACGAACAACAGAAAGTCCTCGAGCAGAAGAGGCAAGAAATTGCTGAGCAGGCAAGTGGCAGTTGTTTTAAAGGGGCATAGTCACTTTTTTTTTTTCATTCATCTTTATTAAATCTTACATATGTTGGCAATAGATACAAAAGATTAAAAAATGTGGCAAACCGTGTGCCCATCCAGCTTGATCACTGCCAGTTTCTGTACACTTATTGCAGTGGTTCTCAACCTTCCTAATGCCGCGACCCTTTAATACAGTTCCTCATGTTGTGGTGACCCCCAACCATAAAATTATTTACCCAGTAATTATAATTCATGAAGTGTTGTTTTTCCTCCAATACTGCCGCTTTCCACTCAGTAGCTGCTTTCAACACAGTAGTTGCTCTCAACACAGTAGCTGCTTTCAACACAGTAGCTGCTTTCAACACAGTAGCTGCTTTTAACACAGTAGCTGCTTTCAACACAGTAGCTGCTTTCAACACAGTAGCTGCTTTCAACACAGTAGTTGCTTTTAACACAGTAGCTGCTTTCAACCAGTAGCTGCTTTCAACACAGTAGCTGCTTTCAGCTCAATAGCTGCTTTCAACACAGTAGCTGCTTTCAACACAGTAGCTGCTTTCAACACAGTAGCTGCTTTCAACACAGTAGCTGCTTTCAACACAGTAGTTGCTTTTAACACAGTAGCTGCTTTCAACACAGTAGCTGCTTTCAACACAATAGCTGCTCTCAACACAGTAGCTGCTCTCAACACAGTAGCTGCTTCAACACAGTAGCTGCTCTCAACACAGTAGCCGCTCTCAACACAGTAGCTGCTTTTAACACAGCTGCTTTTCAACACAGTAGCTGCTTTCAACACAGTAGCTGCTTTCAACACAGTAGCTGCTTTCAACACAGTAGCTGCTTTCAACACAGTAGCTGCTTTCAACACAGTAGCTGCTCTCAACACAGTAGCTGCTCTCAACACAGTAGCTGCTCTCAACACAGTAGCTGCTTTCAACACAGTAGCTGCTTTCAGCTCAATAGCTGCTTTCAACACAGTAGCTGCTTTCAACACAGTAGTTGCTCTCAACACAGTAGCTGCTTTCAACACAGTAGCTGCTTTCAACACAGTAGCTGCTTTTAACACAGTAGCTGCTTTCAACACAGTAGCTGCTTTCAACACAGTAGCTGCTTTCAACACAGTAGTTGCTTTTAACACAGTAGCTGCTTTCAACCCAGTAGCTGCTTTCAACACAGTAGCTGCTTTCAGCTCAATAGCTGCTTTCAACACAGTAGCTGCTTTCAACACAGTAGCTGCTTTCAACACAGTAGCTGCTTTCAACACAGTAGCTGCTTTCAACACAGTAGTTGCTTTTAACACAGTAGCTGCTTTCAACACAGTAGCTGCTTTCAACACAATAGCTGCTTTCAACACAATAGCTGCTTTCAACACAGCTGCTTTCAACACAGTAGCTGCTTTCAACACAGTAGCTGCTTTCAAACACAGTAGCTGCTTTCAACACAGTGCTGCTTTCAACACAGTAGCTGCTTTCAACACAGTAGCTGCTTTCAACACAGTAGCTGCTTCAACACAGTAGCTGCTTTCAACACAGTAGCTGCTCTCAACACAGTAGCTGCTCTCAACACAGTAGCTGCTCTCAACACAGTAGCCGCTGCTCTCAACACAGTAGCTGCTTTCAACACAGTAGCTGCTTTCAACACAGTAGCTGCTTTCAACACAGTAGCTGCTTTCAACACAGTAGCTGCTTTCAACACAGTAGCTGCTTTCAACACAGTAGCTGCTTTCAACACAGTAGCTGCTTTCAACACAGTAGCTGCTTTCAACACAGTAGCTGCTTTCAACACAGTAGCTGCTTTCAACACAGTAGCTGCTTTCAACACAGTAGCTGCTTTCAACACAGTAGCTGCTTTCAACACAGTAGCTGCTTTCAACACAGCCTGCTTAGCTAGCTGCTTTCAACACAGTAGCAACACAGTAGCTGCTTTCAACACAGTAGCTGCTTTCAACACAGTAGCTGCTCTCAACACAAACACAGTAGCCGCTCTCAGCTGCTCTCAACACAGTAGCTGCACAGCTGCTTCAACACAGTAGCTGCTTTCAACACAGTAGCAACACAGTAGCTGCTCTCAACACAGTAGCTGCTTTTAACTGCTTTCAACACAGTAGCTGCTTTCAACACAGTAGCTGCTTTCAACTCAGTAGCTGCTTTCAACACAGTAGCTGCTTTCAACACAGTAGCTGCTTTCAACACAGTAGCTGCTTTCAACACAGTAGCTGCTTTCAACACAGTAGCTGCTCTCAACACAGTAGCTGCTCTCAACACAGTAGCTGCTCTCAACACAGTAGCTGCTCTCAACACAGTAGCTCTTTCAACACAGTAGCTGCTTTCAGCACAATAGCTGCTTTCAACACAGTAGCTGCTTTCAACACAGTAGCTGCTTTCAACACACAGTAGCTGCTTTCAACACAGTAGCTGCTTTTAACACAGCTGCTTTCAACACAGTAGCTGCTTTCAACACAGTAGCTGCTTTCAACACAGTAGCTGCTTTCAACACAGTAGCTGCTTTCAACACAGTAGCTGCTTTCAACACAGTAGCTGCTTTCAACACAGTAGCTGCTCTCAACACAGTAGCTGCTCTCAACACAGTAGCTGCTCTCAACACAGTAGCTGCTCTCAACACAGTAGCCGCTCTCAACACAGTAGCCGCTCTCAACACAGTAGCCGCTCTCAACACAGTTGCCGCTCTCAACACAGTAGCCGCTCTCAACACAGTAGCCGCTCTCAACACAGTAGCCGCTCTCAACACAGTAGCCGCTTTCA